CTGGATTTGAAGTTTTTTTGTTTTAAGATAGCGACCTTCATGTCTGTGATTGCGTGACCAGAGAGATTGAAGTGTTCTCCGACTGGTTTATGAATGTTATAATTCTTGACATCTGATTTGTGTCCATTTATTCTTTTACGTAGAGACTGTCCAGTTTGACCAATGTACATGGCAGAGGGGCATTGCTGGCACATGATGGCATATATCACATTGGTGGATGTGCAGGTGAACGAGCCTCTGATAGCGTGGCTGATGTTATTAGGCCCTGTGATGGTGTCCCCTGAATAGATATGTGGGCACAATTGGCAACGGGCTTTGTTGCAAGGATAAGTTCCTGGGTTAGTGGTTCTGTTGTGTGGTATGTGGTTGTTGGTGAGTATTTGCTTTAGGTTGCGGGGCTGTCTGTAGGCAAGGACTGGCCTGTCTCCCAAGACTTGTGAGAGTGTTGGGTCATCCTTTAGGATAGGTTGTAGATCCCTAGTGGCGTTCTGTTATTTTCTTTGTTAGGCCTGTCCTGTAGTAGGTAACTTCTGGGAACTCTTCTGGCTCTATCAATCTGTTTCTTTACTTCTGCAGGTGGGTATTGTAGTTGTAAGAAAGCTTGACAGAGATCTTGTAGGTGTTTGTCTCTGTCTGAGGGGTTGGAGCAAATGCGGTTGTATCGCAGAGCTTGGCTGTAGACGATGGATCGTGTGGTGTGGTCAGGGTGAAAGCTGGAGGCATGCAGGTAGGAATAGCGGTCAGTAGGTTTCCGGTATAGGGTGGTGTTTATGTGGCCATTGTTTATTAGCACTGTAGTGTCCAGGAAGTGGATCTCTTGTGTGGACTGGACCAGGCTGAGGTTGGTGGTGGGATGGAAATTGTTGAAATCATGGTGGAATTCCTCAAGGGCTTCTTTTCCATGGGTCCAGATGATGAAGATGTCATCAATATAGCGCAAGTAGAGTAGGGGCTTTAGGGGACGAGAGCTGAGGAAGCGTTGTTCTAAATCAGCCATAAAAATGTTGGCATACTGTGGGGCCATGCGGGTACCCATAGCAGTGCCGCTGATCTGAAGGTATACATTGTCCCCAAATGTGAAATAGTTATGGGTAAGGACAAAGTCACAAAGTTCAGCCACCAGGTTAGCCGTGACATTATCGGGGATAGTGTTCCTGACGGCCTGTAGTCCATCTTTGTGTGGAATGTTGGTGTAGAGGGCTTCTACATCCATAGTAGCCAGGATGGTGTTATCAGGAAGATCACCGATGGATTGAAGTTTCCTCAGGAAGTCAGTGGTGTCTCGAAGGTAGCTGGGAGTGCTGGTAGCGTAGGGCCTGAGGAGGGAGTCTACATAGAGTGATCACTTTAGATAAGCTATTACCAGCAGGAGAGTGGGGTGGGAGGAGGTATTGTTTCATGGTCTCTGTGCGTATATAAAGTCTGCTGCAGTTTCCACGGTATGCATCTGATGAAGTGAGCTGTAGCTCACGAAAGCTCATGCTCAAATAAATTGGTTAGTCTCTAAGGTGCCACAAGTACTCCTTTTCCTTTTGCAAATACAGCCTAACACGGCTGTTACTCTGAAACCTGTCGTTATATACACAGAGACCATGAAACAATACCTCCTCCCACCCCACTCTCCTGCTGGTAATAGCTTATCTAAAGTGATCACTCTCCTTACAATGTGTATGATAATCAAGTTGGGCCATTTCCAGCACAAATCCAGGTTTTCTCACACCACACACCCCCCTTTTTCCAAAACCACACACACAAACTCACTCTCCTGCTGGTAATAGCTTATCCATTCTATGTAGAAGTCCAGTCTGCTGTTTCGACCTTCAGGAGGAGTCCACCTAGAATCCTTCTTTTTGTAATGTTGGTAGGGAGGCCTCTGTGGATTAGTATGTTGTTCAGAGGTATTTTGGAAACATTCCTTGAGTCGGAGACGTCGAAAATAGGATTCTAGGTCACCACAGAACTTTATCATGTTCGTGGGGGTGGAGGGGCAGAAGGAGAGGCCCCGAGATAGGACAGCTTCTTCTGCTGGGCTAAGAGTATAGTTGGATAGATTAACAATATTGCTGGGTGGGTTGAGGGAACCATTGCTGTGGCCCCTTGTAGCATGTAGTAGTTTAGAAAGTTTAGTGTCCTTTTTCTTTTGTAGAGAAGCAAAGTGTGCGTCGTAAATGGCTTGTCTAGTTTTAGTAAATTCCAGCCACGAGGAAGTTTGTGTGGAAGGTTGTTTTTTTATGAGAGTATCCAGTTCTGAGAGCTCATTCTTAATCTTTCCGTTTGCTGCAGAGGATGTTGATCAGGTGATTCCGCAGTTTCTTTGAGAGCGTGTGGCACAAGCTGTCAGCATAGTCTGTGTGGTATGCAGATTGTAATGGATTTTTTACCTTCAGTCCTTTTGGTGCGATGTCCATCTGTTTGCATTTGGAAAGGAAGATGATGTCTGTCTGTATCTGTACAAGTTTTTTCATGCAGTTGATAGATTTCCACTCCATACGGCTAAATGCAGTGCCTTGCATAATGACAGGTTTCAGAGTAACAGCCGTGTTCGTCTGTATTCACAAAAAGAAAAGGAGTACTTGTGGCAACTTAGAGACTAACCAATTTATCTGAGCATGAGCTTCCGTGAGCTACAGCTCACTTCATCGGATGCATACTGTGGAAACTGCACAAGACATTATATACACCGAGACCATGAAACAATACCTCCTCCCTCCCCACTCTCCTGCTAGTAATAGCTTATCTAAAGTGATCACTCTCCTTATAATGTGTATGATAATCAAGTTGGGCCATTTCCAGCACAAATCCAGGTTTTCTCACCCTCTGCCACCCCCCCCCCCCCCACACACACACACAAACTCATTCTCCTGCTGGTAATAGCCCATCCAAAGTGACCACTCTCTTAACAATGTGTATGATAATCAAGGGTGTGCCCCAAAAATCTCCATTCCGCCCCGGGGCGGAGGGTGAGAAAACCTGGATTTGTGCTGGAAATGGCCCAACTTGATTATCATACACATTGGAAGGAGAGTGATCACTTTAGATAAGCTATTACCAGCAGGAGAGTGGGGTGGGAGGAGGCATTGTTTCATGGTCTCTGTGTATATAATGTCTTCTTTTTTTTCGGGGGGGGGGGGTTATGCTCAAATAAATTGGTTAGTCTCTAAGGTGCCACAAGTACTCCTTTTCTTTCTGCTTTCTCAAGAGTACTTAGATCGCAAAGTCTTCGGGCAAGGACCATATGTTTGATATGTGTTTGTACGGCGTCTAGCACAATGGAGTCCTGGTCCATCGCAGGGACCAGTAGGTGCTGCTATTATTGCAAATAATACATGATGATTATAGCAAATAATTCTTCATCTGTATGGCAAATCCTGGCATCGTGCACAATTTTCAAAATGGGACCAGCATTTTAGCCATGATGACTTGAACCAAGCTCCCCAGATCTTAACCACCCTGAACTCTGGGAAATTTCAGATCCACACTGTTAGAGAGCTTATTCCTTCACTCTCCCACTTCCCTGGTTCTTCTCGCATGAACAGAGAGCAACAATACCCAAAGTCCGAAGGTGCAAATAAATCAATGTTTATTGGGGTGAACTTCCAGCAAGCTTAAATCCAAGTCCCTTTTTCCTTATTTTCAAATCGCAACTTACCTCATGTTTGCCCCTAATTTATATAGTAATAGTCTTAGCTATACCTTAACTAATCATTCTACTGAAATTTAACGAACCAATCCTAACATATTGTAACATGATTAGCTAACCAATTATATCCCACCACCTTAATTAGTTTACACCCAGCAAAATTAATTATACAGCAGACAGAAACAATCACAGAACCAGACAGAGACCATGCCAATAAACAATAGCAAAGTGGGAACTACAATGACAAAACAATACAGAAGTGAGGATTTCACAACTACATCTATAAAGACATAAGGGTTTCCCAGCTGTGTCTATTGATAAGTGAGTTCTTACCAGACAAAAAAACTATCAACCTAATTTCCTTTTACATCTTCTAGGCACTTCCCTTTCTCTGGAGGTGACAGGCATTATCAGGACCTAACAGCCCAATAGCACCTTCTTTCAATGTGACTAGTTTGGAATGTGAGGTGGTGACCGGTCGCTTCCCAGCTTATGGCTGCCTCTGTCGCTTAGCCTAAGAACAGGGCCTCAGACTGTCACAGTGAGAGAAGGACCTTACACTGGCAGACAGTGATTTTGATTCTTTCTTTTATACCTCGAACTAGCCAAGTGATAAGAATACACCTACATTCTTAAAGTACAGGCCTTTCTACAATTGCCCACTTTGGGACTTGTTGCTCTTTCCTCTGGCCTTGGCCGCTGCCAGAGGCAAGATACTGAACTAGAAAGTGCACGAGTGTGACTAGGCGTAGCCATTTCTAAGTTCCTGCGATTTATTTTTCTTAAATCGCAATCTGCAGTCGGGTCTCCCGGAAAGGGAAGACAGAATTAGGCAGCAGGATGGCCACCTTGGGAAATTATTTGGAAACTTTCGGCAGAAGCTGAGAGAACGGTGATGCCATTTTTAGCTCCTCCTACTCAAAGATTCATGAGGCATCTTGTCGACTCTGCAATGAGCTCAGTACAATCAGCCACCTTTATCAAAATACACAATTCAGACTGTGAAATGTAGCTAAATCTTGGAGGCTTGGATTTCCAAAGGTTAGGTTTCCAAACCTGTACGGAACTGGTTTGGTTCTGTCAAAATCCACCCACGCCCCCTGAACCTACACAATTGGATTCTTGAACAAAAAGGCACTTCTACATGAAAATATGCTCACAGGAACTGAATGCGCTAGGTCTTTCGCCGGCAGGAAAGGGGGTTGTCGGGGGAAGGGAAGAGGCTTAAAAGAGAAGGGACCACCAAAAAAACACTCACTCCCCCCCTCCCAAACAAAAGCCCCCCAGGAGCACCCCGGGTTTTTTTTTGTTTTTTTAAACCGTTCCCTCCCCTCCCTCCAAATATTTTTTTTTCTCTTTTTTTTTTTTTAAAAAGGGGCCATTTGTTTAGCCTGAGGAAATGAAACCGAGACAATTTTATGCAGCCTCAAATTGGCCATTTGTGCAAACATTACCTTATCCTTTGAGAAGAACAAAAAGGCCAGAGTGCAGCTGGGGTCAATCAGTAGTTAAACCCTGTATGTTTTAGATAGGAGGTCAGAATATTAAGACTGACACCTCATACGGGAAGCCGTTTGGGAGGGAGCATGGGAATGATTTTCTGGAGTATTTTATTCCACAGGCAATGAGTACAATATGCAGAGTGCTAGAACCGCATAACCGGGTCATCCCTATAGGTCCTGAGTTGCTCAATTCTTGAGGGAGATCTGGGGCAATTTTGAAATTCGGAAAAAAAAAAAATTTTTTATAATGGATTCCTTGCATTTAAAAAGTGAACTCTTATGAAAAATATCTTTCAACTTCCATCTGCCATAATGAGCTCCAATGATTTGAGCATGAGCTTTCTCAAGTCAGGCTATTTCCTGCATAAATCCAGGTTTAGATAAGCTATTACCAGCAGGACAGTGGGGTGGGAGGAGGTATTGTTTCTAAGGTGCCACAAGTACTCCTTTTCTTTTGCGAATGTATTGAAAGTACATGTCAAGTATGCTGAATAATGCAGGTAATTCAGTGAAATGTTTCTTTCTCTTTTCATTATTTGTTTTTTTTTTTTTAAGTTGAAAACAATGTGGCAAAGCCATTCTATTATATATATCAAGGAATATGTACACAGAGTAAGAGCAGACTTTCCAGGTGCCTGAGGTAATTATCTGTTACTGGAAATTTTTATAAAAATATTACCTCAAATATCTATTGGGTGGAGAGACAAGCTTCCATTCTCACAGGTGGTGTTTTCCCTGACTAGCACACAAACTAAAGCAAGAGTTACTATCTAAGATATGATGTGAAGAGTAAACTGACTAGGACACCGGACATTGAGAAAATGGGTCAATTACACACATGTTTCATTTAGGAAGGAAAAAGTTCTGACAATGTCAAAACATAACATAGATATTATGCATTTCTTACGTGAAACAATTTGCTATATGGTATATTGGCAGACCTGTTTATTACACTTGGAGTATAATGGCTAAAGGAATGGACTGTCTCGGGGGGGGGGGAAGAGGGTATATTTCATAATCACAAGCACACTGTTGCTGTTGACCTCCCATCTCCAACCGTCTTGTAGTTAATTTTGTCTTTAGACTGCAAGCTCTTCAAAGCAGGATTGTCTCTCCATTATGTTTGTGCAGCACCTAGCACAACAGATCCTGATTGGGCAAAATACAAAAAATTTAATAAGGAGAGTTGTGAAGATTGTACAGGTAGATTAGTGCTATATTTATCTATCATATCTAATCAAACCAACAAACCCTTCACCTAACTTATCTAATGCTTTTTTCAAGAAAGTTATTTTCTTCCTTGCTCTGCGAGGATACAACCCCAGTGAGATTTTTATGGGGAAATTTCCCCCCCCCCCCCCACCTGTGGGGTCTGAAGTGTATACACAAGAAAAATAGGAAATACAAAGACAGGTATTAAATAATCAAGCTACATTGTAAAAAAAACACAGAACAAGTAGTCTCACTGCTCCAACATTTTACGGCTTGTATGGTGGTCCCTTAAATAATATTCCATGGGTTCTCAACCATTGTAAAATCAACTTTGATGTCTATGGCCTGTGTTATGCTAACAAAAATGTTGATTCATCAGCTTTTATATTCCAGGGCTAAAGGTGGCCCATTAGACAGAAGGAGGAGTAATGGTCTCAAGATGACCTTCTTCCAACCCTGATATTCTATCATTTACCCTTCAAAAAGGAAAAAATAGGGGTACCTGCACCCCCCCCCACCCCCATGGGTACTCATCTTCCGGGGTACTCCTTGCAAAAAAACACTAACGAAGTTGGTACAAACTAAAATACTGCTCTGTAGAAAGTCAGCAATGTTGAGAGCCACTGCTCTAGATTCTTCCCATATGGCTGTTTAAAATTACATGCCATCTTTCAGGTTAGGGTTTCACCCCATGAGGACAAACTAAACTGTGGGATTGTTTAAACCACCCTACCTACAAATAATGATGGTGGTTGCGGTTGCCTATGCACATTTATGTCCTGCCAATTCTGCTTGCTTTAAATCCAAAATCCAGGCGAAAACAAAAGAATTATTTGCTTTTCTACTTTCCTGCTTTGCCCCTTGAAATGCAAATTTCCACTGAAAGATTTATCTGCTCCCTCCATCCCCCTGCTATCCCTTTTATAGCGCTGGGTGCAGTTGACTATATTTAAGGAGGCGAATTTGTATTTTGCAGATAAGTAGAAGTCGAGCTTTAAAAAAATCAATTGATTAAAAATAAAATAATATAGCCCACTTCAGGTATCAACAATCAATCATTATCTTACTTTTCTGTATTTTATTTGAAAAGGTGGAATAAGCTAAAGTGGGTTACGGGTAGAGAAGGATATTACCCATCTCTCTATCAGCTTTTTTAAAACTGCCAGTGCTGATAACCATGTACAGGTGGAATTTAATAATTCAGCAGATTTTCATTTTAGTGCTTAGCTGGAGATAGACTCAAGAAAGGAAAGAAGATTACAGCAATACCCCACTCCCCTGCTGTGTTGCCACCTTCTACCCCAAGTCATTTCCACGTGGGATGTAAAGAATAAAATACTTAATAGTTACTCTTCTGTTTTGTTTTTTTTACATCTCCTCTGGCCTCTCTCCCTCTCCCCCATGGAGATTGACAATTTATTCTACAAGCCTAGATAACCCAATTGAGAGGGATGCAATTACCTCGGGGAAAGCTGAGCCCATCTGGTTGATGAATCACTTGGTGGTGGGTCAGGTCTCTAGATCGAAGAGAAGAAACAGACAATCAATCAAATTCTTGCCCCTATTTTTGGGGGTGGAGGGGCAGGGCTCCCCAAGTGAAATTTGCTAACCCATAAGGGCTTTTTGTGTGACTGTTTCTCAAAGTCTCCGTCCCACATGCACTTACTTTAAAAACTGCTCTGCAACCTTTTAAGAGGCTCAGGCTCCCCCAGACCATGGCGCTTCCAGCGGATATTCCCCCCCCGCCCCAACCGGGGTCTGGAAGGAGGATTCCCAACGAGGGGAAAGTTTCTTTCCCCTCTGCGCCCATGGACTGTGGGTGTGTAAATTCATAACCGTGCCTGGAAACCCCGCTCGGGCTCCAGTGGGGGCGGTACCTTCCCGGCATGACTGAACGGCCCGGGGGTCCTGGGCCGGGGCCGGGCGCTCTCGGAGGCCCCACTGCTGGCTACCGCCGCCCCTCCGGCTCCTTGTCCTGGCTCCGGATGCTGGAGCCGCCGCCGCTCTCCCGCGCGGCGGCCGCTTCCGCCTTTGTACCCCCGCCGGCGCCTCGCCATTGGCTGGGGGAGGCGCCCAATGGGACGCGGGCGCCGCCCCCTCCCACAATGCGCATGCGCCGATTGCTGAGGCGAGTGGGGACGGTCCCGTCGGGCCGGTCCCTGCGCGGACCAAAACCACAACCGGGGGGGGCGGGCGGCACCTCGAACGAGCAGGCAGCTGGGGACAGAGTAGCCCGGCCCCGTTCTTTTATTAATTACCCCCCCCCCGCTGAGCTTGAGCAGGAGACCCCCGACATCGCCCTCCCCCTTGAGACAACACCCCCAAGCTGGAGGGGGCGGGGCGCACAGTAGGCAGGTGGGAGGGTGTTTTATTGCAGGCCTCCTCCAGGAACCAGCACCTGCCCCCTCACAGGCCCCCAGGGCAGGAGGCACCTGATTATTACCACCACCACCCCCCCTCTGGGTCTGCAGACTGGACAGGAAGAGCTAGGTACACCCCCCCCCACCCCAGCCTGTGTTGCTGAACACGTCCCCGGCTTGTAAGATTCAACTCAGGACCCACCCTCGGCTTCACCCCGGGGGCTGAGATTGAGAATAAAAGTAACACCGAAGAACAGAGTTCAGTAGGCATATCGGAAACAAGTTGTTGTTACCAAAATCATAGACACCATCAGGTTGACCTCCTCCCTGAACACGTTTCTCTCACCCAAAAGCTGCTGCCGGGTTTTCGACCGGGGCTGCCTGTGACCCACGCCGTCCATTCGTTTGCTAGGTAGGGGATGAAGGGGTGCCTTCCGTATATACCCCCCCCCCCCCAACGTGCATTGTCTTTCCTCTGAGGCAGGATAATCCCCCAGGGCTTGTTTTCGCCTGCCTGCTCCTTTTCTGTAGATTACTACATAGACTTTGCATGTAAACAGGCACGCATTCTGTTATTTTACAATGCTACATTTACAACCAAACAGACATATACCCTTTACAGGGTTTAAACACATATTTCCAGTATATTCACGCACAACTCCTTATGCTATGCATCCGATGAAGTGAGCTGTAGCTCACAAAAGCTTATGCTTAAATAAATTGATTCGTCTCTAAGGTGCCACAAGCACTCCTGTTCTTTTTGCGGATACAGACTAACACGGCGGCTGCTGCTCTGGAACTCCTTACATAGTATCTGTACCACATTGGACCACAATATTAATGACTAGCGTGTCCCCGGCGTTCAGGTGAGACATCACCTGAGATGCTTTGGGAGAACCAGAAAGTTCACAGCAAACTCAGGAGGTTTCTGTACCCCCCCCCCTTGCCGGTTGCCATTAACATATTCTTCCGTCACGGACACTGGACTGGCGGCAGAGAGGCAATGCGGGGATTTGTGAGTAGCCACCGAGTCCTTTGGTAACCCGTCCACCGAGTAACCCCCCCAATCCCAGGAGGTGGAGTGCGGCGGCCCGGGGATTGCTCCGTGTTGTAACCGGAAGGCAGGCCGAACTGAACGCCCAGACAATGCAAAGGAGATAATCGACACGTCACGACTGTACCCCTTGGCCTGTGACGTAAGCAGATAGGTCACTTGTCAAAAATCCAAAGACATTTCTATTTTGCCCCGGTACAAATTGCGAAGGTACCTTCTGGGGTCGGTACCTGGAATGCTAGTGTCCAAAACAAGGAGAACGAAAGGTATAGAACGAGTTACTTCCGAGGGCATTCTGCACCAAAAGAATAAAAATTCTGTACACGATATTTAGAAAATCTGCAAAATTCATCTGTCAAATAAATGTAGAGGCTCCAGCATGGCATTGGGGAGCGCAGGCCACTGGCTTCCTAGAGGTGGGAGATCAGCTCCCCCCGGGGACTCAGCGAGGAGGCTGCACCCAACCCTGACACGGCGCAAGGACAGAGCCTGGCCCAGAAACAGCCCAGAGCCCTGCCCCTCCTTGCCAGGTGCATCAGCTGTGGGCAGGCAGGCTCCAAGTCTAGAGGGACTTAGTGTGAGGGGATCCAGGTGTGGGTCAAGAGGGTTCTGAGTGGGGCAATCTGGGTGCAGGTGGCTCAGTGGGGAATCCAGCTGCGGGGGGGAACGGGGACACCTGGATGCACAGGGGCTTGTTGGAGTGCTGTGGGTGCAACAGTAATGGGACTCGGGGGTGTCCAGGTGAACGTGGTTGGGACTCAGCAGAAGTGGGGGGGTCGGGTGGGGGGATGGATAGAGCTCGAAAAGGGGGGTCTGAGTCTGGGGAGAAATCAGTGGAGGGGTCCAGAGGCTGCATAAGTGGGGTTCTGAGTGCAGGGGATGAGGCTCGGCAGGAGGGTCTGGGTATGAGGGGGCCTGGGCTTGGGCACTGGGGGAGCAGCTCCCTCTACAGGGATCCCTCCCCCTGCAGCTGAAGAGTGATGGGTGCATGAAGTGCGGGCCCGAGGCTGGCGGGATGCACACGCGGCACTTCCTACAGCTGAGGGAGAAATCTGGGGGTGGGTCTGACACGACCCCAGATGCCGTGCAGGGCAAGAGGAAGGCCCATCCTCCCCGGCCCAGATGCGACTAGCAGCTGAGCCCGGCACACAGTAGGAGCTACCAGTCAGGTCTTCCCCTGTCCCGCCCCCTGCCCCACAATGATTTACCTCTCTGCCGGCTGTCCCGGATGCCAGAACATAACCGCTGGGAAGGTTGCAGGATCGCTCTTGCGGCTTCCTTATCAAAAAGTCATTTTTCTGTGGGGAGGCAAAGAAATTTGCGAGGGACGTAAATTCTATGCACACATAGGGGTGCGGAATTCCCCCAGGAGTAACGAGTGGAAGAACTGTAACCAACCGTTGGGCTGGATTTTAGTGACGTGAAGAGTTTCATAACTTGTACAATCATCCTAGAAATACACAACCTCCCCTGCAATGTGGGGTGCCTCACAATGCCTTGCTGCTGTGGCTCCCGAGCAGGGCCGCTCACAAACAGCCAAACGATTTGCAGGTCACGCCCTGAACGTCCGCGTGCCGCCGCGGCCACAGTCCGGCAAGTCAGACCCCGGCGGCCTGTTAGCAAACACCGGCTGCGCTCTGGCTTCCGGCACCCTCAATTACTACGGTGCGCGCTGATCCCGACGCGCTCCCGGTCTTCCCCGCAGAAAGGTCTGTTCCACGCTGTCCAGATATATTCGATCCGTCGCCTGTGCGAGGGCATCGAGCTACAACACCTTAAATGGAGTTCCCCACGCAATTCACAACGCTGGATGAATTGCGATTAAAGAACAAAACAAGTTTATTTAACTACAAGAGAGATTGTTTTCAAAGTACAATGGTTACAAGACAATCATAAAACGCTTCCTACTTCTCAACTTAAACTAAATGTGCTTCAAGGTGAAATTCTTACCACAGATTTTCAGTAGCATTGCTGACCAAATTACAGGGCAGGATCTGCTCCTGAGGTCCAGTGGCCATTTTCTTGTGTCCGCTTAGCTGAAAGAGAGAGATGGACAAGACGTGATAACTTGGGATGTTTGTGCCCCTCTTTTCTAGCTCTGTCACCCTTTGGAAACCATATTCCTGGGCGTGACCCCTGGTTACAAGCTCTTTCCAGCTGAGAGCTAGGGGAAAGCTTTCATCCTGTCATTTGCCAAGATCAGATCTGTGTGTTCCTGCCATGCTTCCTTGCCAAAGAATGACCGCTCGATCGGGGCCGGATTAACTCTCCCGTGGGCCCGGAGCTATTAGATTTTTGCGGAGCCCCTGAGGGTTTGGAGTGGGGGAGTGGGCCCAGGGCTAGGGCAGGGGATTGGGGTGCAGGATCCAGCCAGGAGACTCTTGCCTCGGGCAGCTCCTGGGTACCCAGACACTGGGAGCTGCGGCACCAGCGCCAGGATCGGGGCGCAGAGATTCCCTGAACGCCCCTCGCCTAGATGCCGCAAGGACACATCGGCGAGCCGGCGCTCGCGGCTCCGGGCCTGAATGGGGGCGCCGAGGCTTGGGGGCCGGTGTCCGGCCCGCGGCGCGGAGACTTACCGCAGGCCGGATGAAAAGAAGCAGTGGGCTGCATCCAGCTGGCGGGCCTGCGGCTGCAGCCCCTAAAGCCCCTGCACTCGATAGGTGATGACACCTGCCTGGGGTATCGACTTGTCTTTTGCGTCTGAGAAACAGGTTTGCCCACTCCCCAGACCTGTTTTACCGGAAACACATAGTATTGATTTCAGCTTACATTCAGAACTTTACATATAATGTCGCTACGTGCTTTTTACCGTGATATTCCTGACCAGCAAGTTTTACTGGTCACCCGGTACCTCAAGCAGGCATCTTTTGTACCAAGATTTTTACAATAGCGTGTCAGATGTGAATAGAGGGGTGCATTCTGTCACGGTATCTTACTGAACTTTTCTTCCTGTACTAAGCCATTATTGACTTTCCGCAATCAAGCTGACTGATATGGGTTATTTGAGCTCTTCTGTATATTTCATAACAAACCAAAGCACGGCCAAGCAATTGCCACGATCATTTATCAACACTGCCCACCAGCCACGTAGGCCGTTAACGATAGCTGGGTTCCTTCTTTAAAAAGCTCATCGTGAACAGACCCCACCCTGGCGCCTCTTAAAGAAGCCAGCCACCCGGGGACATCGGCCTTAAATGGTCGGCACGTTCACTGCTGAAGTAAACCGTCTTTGCTCCTCCCCACGTCCTTGCCCTTAAATAAGGGCCTCTCTCGCCTTGGCATTCGACACCGCTTTGACTGCAAGGAGATACGCCTTGGTCTCAACGTCTCTCTTCCTGCAGAATTATTTCCGTGACTTAAAAACGCTCCCAAAGTTTACGGAAATACCGACTGGGTTCCAAATGTGTTGCATTAGACCCGCGAAACCAGAATGCCCCAATGGGGAGAGACGGGGTCGGGGGAATATCTGGTCTGAAGTGGAGTCAGGGGGGTTACTCAGCAGGAATCAAAAGCAGAATCCAGCCCAGCGTCAAACAGCTGTTGGGCTTTCTGTTTGACACCCCTCACTGCACCAGTTAACCCTTTCCGCTCTCGGGACTCAAGCAGTAACACCATCCAG